AAAAATATCTCATGTTAGAACTTGTCCGAGATCTTATCAATTCCAATGATCACACCAAGTTTCATCAGAATCGGATGAAAACTGTAGCTTCATCCTGCTCACGAACTATTTTTTAACAAATTTTGACGCATTTTAACAAAGTCAAGGGCCATAACTCAAAAACCGTTCATCGAAAATGCGTCAAGTTAGAACTTGTCCGAGATCTTATGAATTCCAATGATCACACCAAGTTTCATCAGAATCGGATGAAAACTGTAGCTTCAATCCTGCTCACGAACAATTTTTAACAAATTTCGAAGCGTTTTAACAAAGTCAAGGGCAATAACTCAAAAACCGTTCATCGAAAATGCGTCAAGTTAGAACTTGTCCGAGATCTTATGAATTCCAATGATCACACCAAGTTTCATCAGAATTGGTTGAAAACTGTAGCTTCAATCCTGCTCACGAACTATTTTTAACAAATGTCTAAGTCAAGGGCAATATCTCAAAAACCGTTCATCGAAAATATGTCAAATTCGAACTTGACCGAGATCTTATCAATCTAAAGCATCACACCACGTTTTATCAAAATCAGATAAAAACTGTAGTCTCTATAGTGCTCACAAGAAATGTTGACGGACGGACCGACGGACCGACGGACAGGGGCAACGACAATATACGACCACATATTCATGTAAGCGTATAAAAAGGCGTGTTCGTTCATACTGTTCATGAAAATCGAAGTCAATGCTGTTGAAAATCTGGGCATATAAAATGTGTACCTGTGTCGTGTGAAGTAATCATAGCTGGAATAATAGTGTGATATGGTCGTTTGCCAGGTTCTAATCTATTGGGATGATCTGGTTCTAAACTAAATCCATAACCTCGATTCTACAATCAATTTAAAAGGTCAATTTACTAAATGTACGTGTGTCAATACAATGTTCTGCATTTTGAAAAATTCCGGCTCCAGGCGTTTTCTGTGTGTTCTATAGGGTTGTAGAATGATTTTACTCTTGTTAGTTTACTTATAGTCACTATAAGCGATATTTACAGGTTGCTCATTTTCGCCTTTCACATAGTAGGCCTACTTTTTCAAGTTCCAAAACTCAATTTTAATATCTTATGGTTCAGAGTTGCACAGTCAAACTAAAGCATAGTATTACCATTGGAATATTATTACCTGTAAGGTGAATCCACATCCCTCTGGTACCAAACCAGTGCCAAACCCCATAAAATTAGAGTTGATAAAGGAACAAGCATTGCCATGGGCATCGGTGATGGAAAAATATGTAGTATCAGATCCAAGATAAGGTGAACCATGTATGACGCTTGAAGTTCTGGGGACAGAAATAATAATTGTTATTTTATACACAACCATTACTGTAATAAAAGATTGCGACATTAAAACGATAACCCTCTTCATCAATCAAAGTTGTTTTGTGCGGAGATCCGTTATTTCATTGATAGCTTACCAGGTAAGGTAGCATCCATTGGCAGCTTTTTTCAAGGTCATGTTGGTGTTAACTTAATACAAACCTGTTAGAATTTATATGTTTTCTTCTTTCTTTTGCATATTTCTTTGACAATAACTCCTTGATGGGAACGTTTACCATTGAAGGGTCGGCAATGTACTGCAACCCGTCAGCGAATCCTAGTCTTATTGCTTCTATAACATGGTGTAGATATTCACCAGAATTATGTTCCATAGCTATAAATAAGAGCACACATTATGGATACATGCAACCAATCACATAATGACTGGAGAGGGAGGTCTACGTTGTTACGAAAAAAAAATATCTATATCAATTACAGCAATCAAATCATATTCTATCAAAATAGTTCGTTTCACCTCGTAAATCGTAATCATCCAAAATATTGAGAGCGAGAAGAGCTACTAAGCCCTGTCCACTTGGTGCTATTTCCCAAACTCTATGTCCTTTATAATCTACTGATATTGGTTCTTCATATGTCGTCCGATGAGAAGCTAGATCTTCAAGGGACATAACTCCACCATGAGCATTTACCACATCAACTACAGCTTGGGCTATTCGACCTTCATAAAACCCCTTTTTACCATATTTCGCCACTTCCTATATCAAAGTGTAACATTGATACATAATTTTTTTATTAAAATTCAATGTCAAGATAAGGTTTTCTGTCTTAGATATTTTGTAACAGACAAAACTTATTTGTCTATAAGGATCCGACACGTCCAAAAAGCTTTTAAGCTTTTATTTGTCATGGTCCACTATGTTAATTTGGGCCTTGATTGTATGTAAATAGTCTTCACATGTACAAGCACAATTCCTTCAAAAATATCTCAATCTATGAATGCTTCTTTTAATTTTCACTAGTTTATCCTCTGCCCGAAAATTAGGATACCCGAAAATAATACGTCTTTTTGGAGAGGTCTGTAAAGGAAATTCAATGTTGGGATAATATTGTACAGCATGGCGTAAAAAGGCGACTCGTCAGTGTAATCTTCAAACACGTATAATTATGAATACATGTGACTAAGATGGCTAATACTTCGATGGTAAGCTGCGACGGCTAACATTAATTACTGATTAGCTTAGAGGTACAATTCCCGTACCTTAAATGTCTGTGCCATTTTCGGTAGCTTGATGACCTGGCCATGTTTTGGAGCTTCACCATCTAGTAGCATATCTTGTCCATGTTTATTCTCTGGGTCTTTTAGTAATGACGATCCTGAAATATCAAGGTGACAACCACAAAGATCAAAGATAATGAAGAAAGGTTTAAAAGATCCCGGTCGCTGTAGTTGTTGTGCCTGCTATGGAGGCACCCATTTAAAGCAAAGACAGAATGTAAGACAATAACATACCCTTGGCCCAAAAATGAGCTACTGTTTGTTGAACTGGGAAACCATTTTCCGCCAGATTGATAGCAGGCTGCAAAATATCTACTAACGAAATCTGAAAACGGAAAATTGATCTGAAGGCACTATAGTAATCCTTTTACAATCAAAGATGGGGAATGAGTCAACATACTATATATATTCTTTGTAAGAGATTCCATACAGTTATAAATATGGCCTTATTCTGAAATTTTTGTATTAATTATTGCCAAAATTGATGTTTTACCATCGACGAAATATGCTTTGGATTTACAATCCTATTCTACCTTCCCACTTCCAAAATGTTGAACTGTATCGACCCAGGCAGCTGCAGCACCGGGCACAGTCACTGATAGACCTCCTCTCATAGGCATGGGATTATCGGGTGTATAACCACACGACTTGAATAGTTCTAATGTTGCTGCCTTGGGTGCTCTTCCACTGAAATCAAGAAGATTATTTATAAATTATATTTATTAAAGCTGGACAAGCTCAGAATCATCCTCCTGCTTTAAAATAACGAAATTTGTTAATAAATTTAGCTCCGCTTCCAAACTATTATAAAATCATTTTAAACAATATACCGGCATATTTTTATGATTACAAAACTTCCTTCTTCAGGTGTAAAATGGTAGCTGTAGACTATTTTCCATCGGGCTATTTGCGGCTATTTGCCTCTTCCCAAATTCTGAACACATAAAAATGACAGTTTGACAAAAGTATTCTTTCCTAGTTATCTTTACTAATATTAATCACATTTATGTAATATGAGTAATCGCCGTTGCTTATAAGATATTCAAACATGTTTCATTCCCTTTCATTTATTTTATGTTTACCTCCCATTCAATCCTTTTACTGTCTTTGAGTTGGCCTCATAAAACAAACAAAACGCGTCTCCACCCATTCCGGTGGAACATGGTTCTGTTACGTTTAGTGCTGCGGCTACAGCAATGGCTGCGTCTGCTGCGTTTCCACCAGCTTTTAATATATCTGTAATTTATTACCGTTAAATTATACTTTGTAAGAATATTCCTTTAGCGACATTTAGGGGTAGAGATCACATTAAATAACGGAACACAATTTTATGGTATACTACTCCGTTTTTCATTTATGGAAGATTTTACTTGATCTATAACACTGTTGAGAAATTTGTAATGTGGTTGACATACTTCTAATGATGACTTACCTAATCCTATCTGAGATGCTAAGGGTTGATTCGTTGATACAATGCCATGCTGACAAACAATTGGTGATTTTCGAGAATTGAAGATATATTCATCTCCTTTGTCAACCATTCTGCGTGCTTATTACTTCCCAGGTGCTGCCTGTAATATAGATTATTGCTAGGTATAGGATTTATATGTGAAGGGGAATTTCAGTGTAATTGAAATTAGACCAAACTTTCGGTTTTTTTTTATTACAGCCACTGTGTAAATTATTCTTGAATCGAAACCTTCTATTGTCATTAATTTCTTAATTATTCAATTAAAGATAACAAAAATTTCTTGGAATTTCAAAGAACATTCATGAACCGACATGCTGTATTGTATTTTTATACTACAATCATGAAAGTCTCTAACAAGTGAAATACTGTCATAAGATTGAAAATTTACTAATGAAAACCTACCTATTCTCTTTCTCATGCAGTTGATTGTTATCAGATATTATCACTCTGACCCGTATTTATCTCTTTTATACAACACTACTCATAAATTAACTCAACTGGGTCGTTAAAGGGATTACGACGGCTCATTTTATAGGTCGAGCTCTAGCTCTTAGATGCTGTCATTTGATGCCCTTCTATATCGTAAGAAAAATGTTTTCAAAAACTAAGTTTTTTTAAGCATAACTGGGTCGAATGAAACGGGAGCGTATATTGTCGTCATCCATGTCCGTTAGTCGATCTGACCATCCGTCCGTCCACAATAAGCTCGTAAACACTAGAAGGCACAATTCTCGACTGATTTTGACGAAACTTGTAATCAACCAAAGATGAACGTATGAGTTATAGTTTTTTTTCTTAAAAACGCGTTCAATTTTAGATTGTAAACACTCTAGAAGGTGCAATAAAATCATTGACAGATTTTGACGAATTTTGGTTTGAATGATTGTTATTACCCAAGCATCGAAAATTAGAAAAATCGAAATATATTAAGTAAGAGTTGGTCTTGTTCTTGAAAACACGTTCTATTTAAGCTCGTAAACACTCTAGAAGGCACAATTCTTGACAGATTAAGGCTTAACTTGGTGTGAGTGTTTGTAATCATCCAAGGATGAAGCCTATTACAATTCGAAAAATAAGCATGAGTTATTGCCCTTGTTCTTGAAAACTCGTTCAATTTATAGCTCATAAACACTCAAAAAGGCGCAATTCTTATCGAATTTTGACGAAAATTGGTGTGAGTGTGTAATCACCAAAGGGTGAGCCCTATTGAAAATCAGAAAAATCGAAAAATATTCAGTTATTGTCCTTGTTCTTGAAACGCGTCCAATTTTTTAGACAGATTTTCACGAATCTTGCTGTGAGTGTTTGTTATCACCCACTTAGAGGATAAACCCTATTAAAAGTCAGAACAAACAAAAAATATTTGTATGAGTTATTGTCCTTGTTTTTTTTAAAACGTGTTCAATTTTAAGTTAACACTTTAGAAGGCAAAATTCTGGACAGATTTTTGACAAAATTTGGTGAAAGTGTTTATAATCACCCATGTATTGAAAATCAAAAAATGTTTTATTGGAGTTATTGACCTTGTTCTTGAAAGCGCTTTCAATTTTTAGCTCGTAAACGAATGAAGGTTGAAAGAAAGAGAAGTAAAATATTGAGTCATGAACATATCCTGTTTAAAGTAAAGGCTTTGTAGCATGTCACCTTCTTATTATCATTGGAGCGAAACGTAGGCTACTTAGGGTGTCGACGGATGCCCTTTCATATTAAAAGTAGGCCTGAGTAAAGTGGTTGCAAAATATAAGTCATTAACCTATCTAATCAAGCATGATGATTTTAGTTAACATAATTTCCGTTTTTATTTTTTTCGATATCTAGTTCTTACGGGGTGCATATGGACTCACTCCACTAATTTATTTGCCATTTCTTCCCATGTTAAAACACGAAATTCAACCGGTTTTGCCGCATTGCCCAACCTGACGCATCGTGCCCAACTGCACAAAAACGACTTGTAAAACGAAACTAAAGGTTTCTGATAAATCCGGAATGTTTCACATGAAACGAAATATTTCAATATGGTGTCCCGCATCGATTTTTATACGCCCACATCTCTATATGTCCCCCAGGCCATTCTGGGACTTATCTGGAACTAATGGGGGTTGAGCACATCGAATACGAGAATTTATAACTTCTCCTCGCTTGATAATTCTGATTTACTATTCAGAAGATTTTCACTTTCAAACATTTCAGTTGCCATTTTTTTTAGCACGAGAGTGACGTTATTGGCACGCAGTAGAGGGACATAACTCGTGCAAGTTATTACCAAATTTATTTATTGCACTTGTCTTGTTTCGTTTTAAGGATTATGTATTTTGTATTACAGTTCTGATCGTTTGTACTTGCTATTTATTTTATTCCAGATTTTACCATAAAACTATAGTTTCGATTTCCCGAACAGGTCCAAATTATACATAATAACAGATTAAAATATTTCGTTTCATGTAAAAAATGGCCATTCCCGATTTTATCAGAAACCTTTAGTTTCGTTTTACACATAGAGTTCGTTTTACATGTCGTTTTTGTTGAAAACCAACGACTACCATTCGACTACCAATCAACAAGAAATACCATGATCAGAACGAGTTTGGAAGAATGAAGGAGATCGAGTAACTCACGCCACACCATCCAGGGCCGAGTTTCACCGCCATGTCATTCGACCCGACCAGATCTAACGAAGAATCAACAACCAAACCAACAACACAGAATCATCCAATTTGAACCAATCCAACTACCAACTACTACGACTACCAACAACTACCTAGTTTGCGATATCAGCTTTCGCTGGAAGCGAAAGTTAACTTGTCATCTACCTACCTACCCTACCATGTCGTTTTTGTGCAGTTGGGCACGATGCGGCAAGTTGGGCAATGCGGCAAAACGAACCCACCGAAATTCAACCTTCTACAACTTTTTCCAGTAATGTCATTTTTACATGTACCGCTACTGAAGAAATTTTTATTTGTTCAACTTGTCAACTTTTTTTTTCTTTGACTCATCATAGAACTATAATATTACAGTTCTATGATCTCAGAATATATTTTACTCTTCGAAGCTAACAGGCGTTCTATTTATTATAACTCTATGGGCGTAACTCACTTATTATGTTATAACGAACTATGCTAGTCTGCAGTATTCAACTTCTCTATGCAAAACCATAGAACAGTGGCAAAACGAACATATCCAATACTGAACTGTGGGATACAAAATGGCTACCATAACAAATCTCACATGAAGAAATAAACACATCCAATAGGCTATTTCACAAGAAAATAATAAATGAGCTCACGTATTTTATGATATAGGCCTATTTTATGGTTATGAAAACTAAACAATATGAGTGCCGTTGACTTAAAAAACCAGGGAAATAAGTTGTTTGCTGCGAGAAAGTACGACGATGCTATATCATGCTACACGAAAGCTATCGTAAGTTTTTTCAGTTCAGCCTATTTGTTCAGATCGATTTTGCTATTTTTCATTCAAATTTGAAAGGAATTGAAGATACCGTACATTATTTTTTAGAAGCCCCACATATATTGACTTACCTGTCGTTTATTTTCTTAGGTAGGCGTACTTGCCTCAACTGTCCACAATCAATAGTGTTTCCAAATCGAATTTTGCCAATCATTTTCGTACAGTGGTGTAACCTATTTTCGTGCATATAAGGATTCAACAACGAATTTCGTCAAAGTTAAAAAAAACGAAAATTATTTTTTAAGTCCTAGATGTTTCCTCAGATATTCTACAAAATAATTAGAATTGGTTTGTTTCGATTTTCTTTATGAATCCTTCACTTTGACCCATATTTCATGAGTGATCAACTCGACTACTGTGGCAAAATACGTCACCTATATTCGTGAACAATGTTTGATCTATAAATATGTCGAGAAAAACACGTTGTATGGATACCCAGTGATATAATTAACTTCTCTTAGTATTTATCTTTAATATCAATTCATTATCTAATGACAATTCCTTCAAAGAACCATGATTTAAACAAAAAATAGTGACTTACAAAATAATATACGTAGCGTGCTAAAAGTCACTGAAACAACATAAGAATATAGCCCACATTGTGTTCCATAGAATTGTCTGCTGACACGGAATCTGCTAGTTGATCATGTGACTTCATTCGTTAGACTACATTCTAGCAGACGACACTTGGAATTCCGATTTCAGCTTGGGATTATAAGGAAATTTGGCCGATAAAAAATTGTGACGTTTGGTCATAAGTGAAATCCGCCATTTTGTATTTGTCAAAGATACATTTATACCTATTACCTTGCTTGAAACAACTGGATTCATTTTACTAGCTGACATTGTAGAGATAACCCATGTTTATCAAAACAAGCAAATGCGGAGGTCGCACATGTAAATTATTAATCTTTTCCGGAAATGCACGAAAAAAAGGTTAGCACGAAATAAGGTTACCTGACTGTATTATAAATTTAGATATCAACCAAAAAAATAAATTCTAAGCTCAATGTAGACAGAGAATGAAATATGTCCAAAACCAAATTAAAAAACAATTTTCTGCAAAAGAGAAGTTGTTGATGTCTCAGACCTGCTGGTCAACATTTGATCGACTAACTGCTGAATGAAATTTGGGTCGTATTGTAGCAGTTCTACTCTAAGTATCCTTGATACTTCTATATCAGCTATAAAGAATCTTTTAGATACTACAAATGCCAACATCTATTTCCTTATACCTTTCAGGCTAAAAACCCAAACACAGCAACATTCTTCACCAACAGAGCATTGTGTTACCTCAAACAAAGACAGTGGGATTTTGCTAGTAAAGACTGTCATAGAGCCTTAGATTTAGACAGACTTTTAGTTAAAGGACATTTTTTTCTAGGACAATCTTTGGTTGAACAAGGATTGTATGATGAAGCTATTGCCAGTCTTAAGAAAGGTAATTGTACTGGTACTATAGTTGTGTAAATGTTGACTTTGATGTCAAAGCGTGTCTTCAAATCCCCTATGAGTGATTATACAAAACAATAATACAGTAGTGTAACCTATACTTGTGCATAAAAGGATTCGACACCGAATTTCGTCAAAATTATAAAATGGAAAATTCTTTTTTGTTATGTCTTAAAAGTTTCTTCAGATATTTTATTAAATAATTCAAATTGGTTTGTTCCGATTTTCTTTATGGAATTCAGTAAAAAACTCAACAACGGCCTCAAAAGGCGTCACCTATTTTTGTGTAAAATGTTTGATCAATAAATTAGTCGAGAAAAACACGGATATGGATACCCAGTGGTTTAATTATCATTTCTTAGTATTTATCTTTAAAGTGGTACTATGTCTTAGAATTAACATAAAATTTAAGAATTTTAAACTTGGTGAATAAGAGCCATTAGATATACCTGGTGTCATAAATAACATAACAGGATCCTTATATAATCTAATAAATCCAAAAAAAACTTAGTAATGATCCATAAATATGCAAGTAACTATTAAAAAACGCTTAATATCAAGATTAAGCATTTTTAAATAATTACTTGAAAAAATGAATTTTCAAATTTTCCGGTTTTTGCAGGGATTCTGTTGTAACTTTATGACACCAGGTAAGCTAACTGATGAATATAGACCTTTTCAAGAACTTAAATTTTATGTTCATTCTAAGACGTAGTATCACTTTAAAATCAATTCATTATAACTAATTACAATTACAAAGAACAATGATATGAAAAAGTGACTGTCAAAATTAGATAAGTAAAACGTAAGAGTATTTTATTGCTAATATTCATTGAAACAACGTAAGAATATGGCCTATATTGTGTTCCATAGAATTTTTTTGCTGACATGGGATCAAGTAGTTTGTCACTTGACTTTGTTCACTGGAATGTATTCTAGCAGACGACACTTGGATTTCTAAGTACAGCTTGGGATTATAAGGAAATTTGGCCGTTAAAAAAATGTGACATTTGATAATAACTGAAATTGCCATTTTGTATATGTCAGAAATAGATAGGAAACATTCTGCAGTTTGACCTTGTTGAGATAACCCATGTTTATCAAAACATGCAAATGCGCAGATCACGCGAGGTCGCACATGTCAATTATTTATCATTTCTGGAGTTGCAAAAAATTAGGTTTGCATGAAATTTGGTTATGTGACTGTATGGTTTTTACGTGAAAATAGCACAAACAAATGTTATTATTAATCAAATTTTTATAAAGGATATAACATTTTAACTAAGCTTTCAAATCACAATTAAAGCCATTTCTAAACCTTTAGAAAGAAAGAACCATACATTGTTTTGTATGTAGGGGTGACATGAGCATTAAGCACAAAACAAAAACCAAACCCACTACTGGGACTAAGAACAGGAAACAAAGAGTTTAATATTTAAAGATCGGTTTTCTTTTTTTTTTTTTAGTGACAAATTAAGCAAACTATTTCATTAATTGGTGTTTCTAATGAATTATCATGTATTCTTAATCATATCATTATGTTCTTATTGCATATAATTAAGAATTTTAACCAATCATAAATGTCAATGTAAGTACAGTCTGGATATACCAAAAGAGACTTTTTGACCTTTCTTAATCAGTCACTTATTGGAATTCTGCTGGTAATTCTCTTCTAATTTAGCTAATTATGAATATGTGAGACAAACTGGTTTTTTTCCAAGTCATTAGAACACCTACTTTCTGTTCATTTATTATTAGCATTTTCATAAATGATATGAGTTATTGCCCATGTTCTTGAAAATGTGTTGTGGACACGGTAGAGAGCTGGTTTCTTGATGGATTTTGATAAAATTTGGTGTCAATGTTTGTTATCACCTATTGCTCTTGTTCTTGAAAACGTGTTCATTTTTTACCTTGGGAAGGTCTGGAAGTCACAATTATTTACAGATTTAGACAAAACATTGTGAAATTGTTTATTATTCCCAATGATGTACCCTTTAGGTATTCATTAAAATATAAAAAGTATTCAATATGAGTAATTGCCCTTGTTCAATATTGTTCAATGTAAATCTGGTCAACACCTCAGAGACCAAAATTTTTGATCGATTTAGACTGCAATTGTTTATTATCACGTAAGGATGAACCCATCCGAAAATTTTAAAAAAATGAGAAAAAGCTGTGCATAAAGCTCTTGCAGTATGATGTTACTCCGAAATTATTTAATTTACTGATAGCTCATGTCAACCTCCCAGACGACTTTTCTGCCATTACAGTTGTTCGCATATTTTGATGACCACTATCACTATTTTTCTGGATAGTGACACAGTAAATTACAATTTCTTTTAGATATCGTACTTAGCTGTGTGTGATAGTGGATATGATATTGGCATATAATATATAGCTCAGCAATTCTGAAAACTGGGGTTGGAAATATAAAAGTATTTTTTCAACTTGATGCTTACAAAAAGTAAATAAGAGTATTCTTCTAAATATTGACTCTTAGGTGATTTTATTATAACTCAGTAACTTAGATGTTATAATATGCCCCATGCTTAACGTACTGGTATCTCAAAAAGGTTAAAAGGTAATCTACTTTCCTCATTCCTATTTAATTTTATTTTTCAGCCTTTGATCTTGCTAAAGATCAAAAATTGAATTTTGGAGATGATATAACAGGAGCCTTGAGACTTGCAAAAAAGAAAAGGTGGAATAAACTAGAAGATAAAAGAATTCAGCAAGAAATTTGTTTACAGTCTTATATCAATAAATTAATAAGGGAGGATGCAGAAAGGTTTGTTTAAAAATCATTCCTATCTCATTTTTATACGCCCACATGAAATGGGGGGCGTATATTGCCGTCACCTCTTTTCCGTCGATCCGTCCTCAATTGCTTGTAAACGCTCTACAAGGCACAATTCTTGACTGATTTCGACGAAACTTGGTATGGTTGTTTGTAATCACCCGAGGATGAACCCTATTGAAAATCAGACGAATAGAAAAATATTTACTATGAGTTATTTCCTTTGTTCTTGAAACGCTCGTAAACACTCTAGAAGGTGCAATTCATGAGGGATTTTGATGAAACTTGGTATGAGCGTTCGTTATTGCCCAAGGATAAACCCTATCGAAAATCAGAAAAATTGAAAAATATTTAGTATGAGTTATTGCCCTTGTTCTTGAAAACGCGTTCAATTTTAGCTTGTAAACACTCTAGAAGGCACAATTCTTGATGGATTTTGACGAAACTTGGTGTGAGTGATTGTAATCACCCAAGGATAAACCCTATTGAAAATCAGAAAAATTGAAAAATATCTAGTATTAAGTTTCTAGTATTAGTTATTGCCCTTGTTCTTGAAAACGCGTTCAATTGAAGGCACAATTCTTGACAGATTTTGACGAAATTTGGCTTGAGTGTTTGTTATCAGAAAAATATTTACTATGAGTTATTGCCCTTGTTCTTAAAAACGTGTTCAATTTGTAGCTCGTTAAAACTCTGGAAGGCATGATTCTTGCCGGATTTTGACAAAACTTGGTTTTATTATACAGTACTGCGCTGAAGATTGAACATTTTTCTTCACGAGCTAAAGATTGAACACGTTTTCAAGAACTAGGGCAATAACTCATACTCAATATTATTCATTATCGCCCTAAAGAGTTCAAAAGAAGTGTATGAATGAAAGTTGAATATTTCATAATGGTGATTGTTACTGTACTGCTAAATATTTTTATTCAAAATCAAAGCTGCCAGAGGACATATATTACCTTGCCTGGCAAGCTATCTTTTACTTTTTAACCAAAAAAAAGTGTTATTTAGTGTTAAGGACGGGGGCCCCTTAGACGCAATTTTCCGGACTTTTATAAGATATTTCGTTTTAACGTCATATATTTGGTTTTAACAAAATGATTTTTCGTCTAAACGAATTAATCATTTGATTTAAACGAAATATATGACGTTATTTCGTATAAAAAAATTAGTTAGTTCGTTTATCGAATAACTTATTTCGTTTCAACGAATTATTTGATAAAAGTATGGCAAATTGCGTCAAAGGGGCTCCGTAGTTAAGTGTTTCGAATAGAAAAAATGGTTATGGATTGATTTGAATATTGGCTCAATTATATATAGGAAAATAGCAGCACTCAAAATAAGTGGAAAAGATAAAAAAGAGAAGAAAAAAGATTTAAAAGATGACATTGAAGCTGAGAAGGTTAGTTTAATGTTTCATGCTTCTCAATAACATTTACATTTATGCTGCATCTAGATAAGTAGGTTTAGATTTGCCACAATTGCCCGGTGAATGTAATAGAGATTACAATTTTGATCCGATTTTGATGAAACCTTATGTGTTAATGAGATCTCAGCTGTTTTTACATCTCTAAATTAGAGATTAATATACATGTAATCATGTAAAATTATATTAAATCTGTATTGATATCTATTACAGGAATTAAGGATAACAGAATTAAACAGATTATTTAGTGAGGTTGATGAGAGAAGACGGGTAAGATAACATCTTATATCAACAGAGTGAATCCAATCCCACACACAAATCATAGATCTCATGACAATAGAAGGTAGCCATGGTGAATCAGTGAGTCAGAGTTGCTTGTTGACCTGAAAGTCCAGGTTTCAATCCGAGGTTGAGTTAATACCCGTATGACACTTCCCTCCTTCAATGCCTATTAGGTACAGATGTCCTGACAATAGAAAAATCAAGAGAAAGTAACTATGAATCTTGATTTCCAAAACTATAGGCCCAATTTCATAAAATATAACACCTGGCAAGCTTGCCTGGCAAGCTATCTTTATCACATGTTTTTATCACATGACAGAAATGTGGGTGGTAAGATTTTTATGAGAAGGGGGTCAAAGTTGTATTGATAAACCTGTCAATCTAAAATACTAAATCACACATTCAGAGATTATAACCAAGGATAAGTAACTCATGTTTTTTATTTTCCAGAAAAGAGATGTACCAGATGTTTTATGTGGTAAAATAAGTTTTGAAGTAATGAGAGATCCAGTAATAACTCCAAGTGGTATAACCTATAATAAACAAGACATTATAGAACATTTACAGGTAGGTTGAGGCCATCACTTTAATATATTATGGTGATCTAGTGCTACATAACACAATCCGTAACAGAACAGCAAGAATTTGAACTTTTTAAAATTGGACTTAGACTTATGAGCAAAGTAAGCAAATTCATTTAACAGGAGCGAGAAGTTGACAATATGAATGTTCTACAAGTAATCAAATTGACTGGAGCTCATCTTATGCTGCTGACACAATGTTTTAGATACACAATCCCAATCAGGACAGCTAGTGATGATCCGATTTTGGACAACAATCGATTATCGGCCATTGAAAGTCAAACGATGTCATTAATCAATTCCTAATTTAAAGTAGGCAAACAATATTCAAACCCAGTCATGTTGTTTTCAGTTTGTTTTGTGTTGATAATAAAAATCTCTAAAAATAAATAAAACTTAAGTTATTATAAGATTAAAGACTAAATCAATGAGATCCTGATAAATTGTCATTAATTTTTATTCTTGATTATTTTTTCTCGAAGACTGAGATTCGGCACAGAATCAAAGGAGGCATGATTGTTACTATAAATTGTATAGTAGTCACAGATTGTGCTGAATAATGTATTCAGGTGTTATGGATAGCAAACGACATTTCGCATTGATATAGCCTTCTTTTGCGAAAACTCATTCCTCATCATTAAAATGATTGAAATACAACACTGCTTTTTGTAAGAAAATAATAACTCCTTTATCATTTTTGTAAGAAAAACCGAAACTGCAAACCTGAGCTTTAAATATTATCAGTTATTTTAGAGAATCTACTTGTGCGACCTTGAAAATTTAAAATGTCACAGGAATAAATATGATAAATGCAAGTATTGATCACTTCAAAAATAATATTAAAGAAATCAGGAGTATAAAAAAGCCATTATTGAAGAAATAATATACAAAATGTACATTCCGTGAGGAAAGTCACTGTTGTGGGAAACATAATATTACCGCTCAATATTATGGTGTCTGCGTTATGTCACCAAGTTGTTTTTTTCTTCCAGACAAGATATGCATTTTTTACAGGTCAAAGTGTCAAAAGGAACGCATATCGCATGGATATAAATATACATTTGAGGTTAATGAAAGGCTACTACTTCTGTTGCATTTATTTTTTGTACTAGCATTAACATTACAATTTCAGAATCAAAGTCTTTTTTGATCACTACCATATAACTTATATTAAAATTACTTAATATATAGCAAGACTTAATGATTTGAAAAAAAGTGCTAATGCTCAACAAATTGTAACTGCTATACAATTTTGCTCCACAGAACAAAAAATTTGTTTTCTTAGAGTGTTGACTTACAGTGTAATTATCTGCATCAAACCTATCATAATTAACAAAACAACTATGAAATTTATTATAAAAACTTTAAACATGTACATGAAAGCCATAGTAAATGTGGCGTGTTTTGTTTATAAATCGATTACATAATTGATTATACCTTTCCAATTATTTTGATTAGTCAATTATTAGTGCCCATCACTAAGAACAGCTAGTTTTGGAAATAGAGAATAGATTTCCAAAATTGGACAAAGAAATAGCTTATTCAGCCATTGACTACATTGACTTTTTGTTGTATTCCTGTCTGTAATGGTAATAAGGTACTGTAGGTTTAAAATGATTGAAACCTTTTCATGTCAAGAAAGAAACTAAATACCATAAATGATGCTTTATTGAATCAGTTTTGTATCTGCTTTAACAAGCACAACACCTAGTAAAAAAAATGTTATAGATGGAAAAGAATTTCAAGATGTACTCTCTAGAATATTGAATCAGACTAGTTACTACCTTTAGTTATCTGTACTGTAATTTTGTGTTTCAGCGTGTTGGTCATTTTGATCCAGTAACAAGAAGTGCATTAACACAAGAACAATTAATTCCTAATCTAGCTATGAAAGAAGTGATAGATAATTTTCTAGAGGATAATGCCTGGGCAGAGGATTATTAATCCATTGTTAATTATAATTCTACTGTTTTCAGTGATTACAAGAGCTAACTATAGCCCTCCATGCTGATTTTATTTATCCAGAATGTCGAACTTCAGTGGCTCTTTAGTAATTAAGAAATTTGCCTTGAAACTTTCACCACAAGTGGAGTATGTTAACTAGTAAATCCATAATTTTTATAATAATATGGTATTTTATTAAGTTATGATGCATGTCCACAGATGATAGGAAAGCCTCACAAGTCAATAAAAAAACAACGTGATTCGGCTCGATGCGTGAGCTGAAGTGTTTTTTTTGCAGTTATATCCCTTTCTTTATTCCCTTGGATAATTCTTTTATTTTCATGCTACAACTTATATACTTCGATTGTATAATCTGAAGGTCATGCTAATGTTTTAAGATATTTTACTGGATGTCCCCCTTAAAAATTATAATGATGTATACGCCTTTTGAGTGTTGCTATGAATGTTATATTGATATTATTGGATGTCTATCAGTCCCAATCCACTGGACATTTTCCTTGCTCAAGAAAATCATTATTCTTCACATTTGATGGTGTATTTGTTCATTATGATTAGCCCTCAGTCAACATATTTTCTAAATATAATAACAGCCTTGTATAAACCACTGTTCTTGTCTTGTTCTGAGAAGTAAGCTGTAAGTGTGTTAAGTAGAGTGAAATTTATTTGTATAGAAATTAATGTTTAGTGTTGTTTTGTATTATTATATGTTGAATAAATATAATGATTGTTTGGTAATATACAAGGAGTATTTCCAAAATATATAATATAAAAGAAATGTGTAGTTCTAGAAAAATAATGCACAACATTTTATGTGGACGTATGTTTTCCGTCTTAATCTAGAGAGGCATCGGAACTTGAGGAAATCGATTTGAATGCTTTCTAACTGTGATGCCTTGTCCCCGAATAATGTTATTTCTATGTTATAGATCTCCCCTGTGGACCAATTATCGAAGGTCATTACATATTGGAATATGTTCGATTTGTTTTTAATCAATTTGGGCGATATTTCGTATAAATTAGACGCAAAACTACCATTTCATACATAGTTAACCCCTTGTCGTGGTTTATAGTCCAAAATGATCCCAGTGGGTGCATCGGTCCCTGATCCGCGACCTTTTTCTCACGGGTATTACAAGCGTAAGTGGTGATTACCACTGGATTCGTATTTTACACTTAGTACAGAAGTATTCTTATTTGCGTTATAATTATAACAAATGTATCCACTATATAATTTAGAATGGCTGCCCAAATTTGTTACGCCACCTCTGGTTGAAAATCAAATTGGGTTGAATAATACGTCCCACATAGTTTTAGTGGTTTTGAATCCGATGTCCAACCGAGAACCTGCCCACCTGCTAGACATGGTAACTAACTCCATCCACCAACTATCATAAATGATAGCAAAGGATTTAGTGACTTGAAGATGAATTTGCATACCGCATTTCATAAATGTGGAAGTATATTGCCGTCTCCCTTGTCCGTCGGACCGTTTACATTTTTAGTAGGCGCGATAGATACAGTTTTGACCCAATCTCGACGAAACTTAGTATGCATCTATATATTGATGAGATCTCGGTCACCTTCCAAATCGGTAATTATCAGATGAGCTGTTGAGTTATTGCCCTTAAAAACGCGTCATATTTGGTTTGTAGGAGCGATAGTTCCTACATGACCCGTCCACAATTGCTCGTAAACACTCTAGAAGGCACATATTTTGACAAAACTGGCGAAATTGTGATTTTTTCACCCAAGGTTGAACTTAATTGAAAATCAAAATATACAAATATGAGTTGTTGCCCTTGTTCTTGAAAACGCGTTAAACTCTTAGCTTGTAAACACACTAAAAGGAACAGCTCTGATAATGACCAATTTCACCCAGTTTCGTCAAAATCTCTCAAGGGCTGTTCCTTTTAGTGTTTACTAGCTAAAACTAATCGCGTTTTCCAGAACAAGGGCAATGACTCGATGATATATCAAATATTTCAATAAAGTTCAACTTTTAATGAAAATATGTGCCTTCTATAGAGTGTTTACGTCCAATTGTGGACGGACAGCTCATCTGATTATAATCAAATTCGAATTTTACCGAGATTTCATCAATACATACGTACATACCAAGTTTCATTAAGATTAGATGAAAATTGTATCCTATATTGTATCTACAAGACGGACCTACGGGCAGGGGCAGCAGCAATTAAAATTCACATTTCTATGTGGACATATAAAAAGTGTTTGTCTTCATCAATCGTCAACTATTTTCAGAACGTCAGAAATCAATTTTCATGAACATGTTATGATATCAACGTTAAAGCTTACAGTCTTAATTAAGCTGTCATATCAGTCACATAAATCAGGATTATATCAGAAGAAGATAATATTAATGAAAAGTTTGAAATAATAAGGGCTGCTTGCTTATTGTGGCACATTAATTACCATCCCTTGTCACTCTCTTCATCACCTATATGATTATAATAAATCCGTAACTATACAACTGGGAATAAAGTCCTTCTTACTACACAGGGGAGGCTGTGTATGATCAATTTCCCATACCTGCACCAATCCCTAAACATTTGATCTGGTCTGTATTCAAAAGGATTCATTTTATCATATACCCCACAATTTTTAAACGATCATAAAAGCTCGCTGAAATCAGCTTGAAATGTAAAGAAAATTATTGATGCATTGTCATGTACATGCTTAGTTATTATGCAACGCTAACAACGCTATTTCTTTGCAAAATTAAACCGATAATTTCTCATATTTCTGATTCTGTAAAATCAATACATGTATATCGGGTGGCTCAGAAAAAACGATAATACTTTCATTTCGGGATTTTTAATAAAGTATGAAAGTTAAGATCATAATATTTTGACCTCTTAATTATATATATATAAGACAACTTTTCAAAAAAATAAACTTCATAGATTGAAACACTTGGAAATTGACAACATTTTTTAAATTTCTGATCAAATATTTCAATGCCGAAATTCATCATTGTAATTTTACTAACCATTAATGACAAAAAGTCAAAATTTTCAGTCCACACTGCCCATAGACTCTTTTTCCAAATTGCCAGTGGATTAAGAAATCTTGGGAATCTAATATAAAAAGATGAATGACCAACCCCTCACCCATCTCCCGATTGCAATATAAAAGCTTCAGTGTGCAGGACTCTCAAGTTCGGAAAGTTTACAGGAACAGGAAACAGGCATTGAAGGACAGAATTAGAAACCAATGGTATGAAATACTTCTTGATGAAATCCTGAAGATAATTGTAACATGGGAAGAGCATCAATGAGAAAATGGAAGTTACATAGCTTGTTCGATTAAATACAAGATGAGATTAAATAAAAAGTAAAATTACAAAATAATTAAAAATGCTGCCATTTCAAAGAGGATTTTTTGTGAAAAGATGTTTCATATATCAATAATTATGAGGCTAAGACTGTAGCTTTGATACTTCATGAACAATCCTAACCTGAAAAGTGTTATCGTTTTTTTCCGACCACCCGATTTACTTTAATTACCAGTTACATATTCACTGTTTACTGAACTCTCATAGTGAGTATTATATACAGGTTCAAATAATTTACATACTTATGATGAACTCTCACAGAGATGTAAGACAATATTTACAAAGGTTGCTTGCTTGGTTGGTTCAATTTACAGACAAAGTTGATATCAAATCGGATATAATAAGAACAAAACTTGCAATCCGGATGACAAATATTTATCATATACAAGTCGAAATATATAAAGCATCCTTTAGAGAGAATTTGTCTAATTGTGTAATTACAAGGCCTTCATTAAGAAGTTGCCAGGATGTGTTGTAAAGTTGGTATCCTGATCATAGATAATGTTTGGTACAACCTGTTGGTATGCTGTACTCGATAGTTTTATCACCTGATGCTTTAGGTTTACATGGACTCTTATCAAAATACACTTCCCGTTAACACCAACGACCTAGTCCTTGAGACTGGTATATTTATAGAAATCAATCAATCTTTACTTAATATATGTGATTGGAATGATTATAAAATCTCTTTTTTACTTTCCTTTGATATCAGTTTCATGTGGAACTTTAATGTTTTCTTCCGATAATTGCCAATTAACTTCTATGCAAACAATAGCTCTGTTTGTTCAATGGTAATTGTTCTGTTTGGAAAAAATTGCATCACAGCCTAACTAGAAAGAGACTTAAGCCAATCATAAAGTAACATCAGGTGCTCAGGATGGATATGAATGACTTTTACCTCGCTTTTAGCATAGACCTAATACTTTTTTTAATGGATAAACATCTATAGGAAAAATCTAAATTATTGCTCTTTAGTCCCAGGATAAATGTATAGTGATGACCACCCGCAATTTATAGATCTTTTACCGAAATAAACGTTACATATTTATCCAAATAAACTTCAAAATGCATATTTCAAGGCAAAATTTTCAGAATGTTCTTTCCCTCTGGCGGGTTCAACACTAAAGCTAAATTATAAATAAAAGTTAATAAAAAAAGCAAAGCAAAATGTTTGGTTAAATTTTAACTAGACTGTAAGAAAATAATTTGGAGTAAGATAAAAATGTGTGTTTACCTATGTAATGTACATATATTATATCAAATATACAATATTAGCTATGTGAACTCCCGAATTATCAGATGTTCCAGAAGCTTGAGCATGTAAATATTGTTTTACTTAATTTTCTTAATCAAAACTAATAACAATCGACTAATAACGAATTATTTGGGGCAAATATTCTCACCATCACTGAGCAATCGTGATGTACTTATACTAAACGAAAGTAAAGCTATGGAATAAAAATGAATTCAAATATTCCTGTTTTGAACATGAAAACATTTTTCTCGATTGTAAATATAATTTAATTGATTTTATGATTATTATGATTAAGTAATATAAAAATGATAATAAGTCTTTTTATCTCCTAATCGACCACTGTCTCATCTGGAAAGAGTATCAGTAGAGATAATTAAATAAATTAAACGTCATTAATCATATGTAAGTCCTCTTCTCTCCTCGTATATCAATAATCCATAATTATAGAGAATAATAGGTTTTAATGCCTGTACGTTAAACTAATATTATCATCTATTGGAATATCAACTCGAGATTCATAACCTGGCTTATTTACTTAATGCAACTTGTTGTGAAGGTCAGAAGTTGTTGTCACTTCTCAACTATACTTGTGGAATATGGATGACGGTATTCAAAAGTCAGTAAGAGATTTTCTCTTACGATTTTTTAAAAAAAAATCAAAAAATCATACCACATTAATTTCGAAAGAATGTAACACATATTCCTTCAAAATAATGAGTTTTGCTGTTGTTCCTTGCATGTGGTATTTTGCTCATGTATAAATGTCCGTCTGTCCACAAATTGCTCGTAAACACAATTCTTTACGGATTTTGACAAAACTTGGTATGAGTGTTTGTAATCACTCAAGGATGAACCCTGTTGAATATTCAAGAAAAAAAAATAGAAAAAATAGTTGTTTTGAAAACGTGTTTTAGCTCGTAAACACAATTGTCCTTCCACAATTGCTCGTAAACACTCTAGAAGGCACAATTCTTGGCAGATTTTGGCGAAACTTGGTTTCACCCAAGGATGAACCCTGAAGAATATTTAATGAGTTACTGCCCTTGTTCTTGGAAATGCGTTCAATTTTTAGCTCGTAAACATTTAAAGGCTCCAATCTTGCCGGAGTTTTGACAAATCATGGCATTATTTTCAATAAGGTTCATCCATGGGTGGTAATAATCAATTTCACCAAGTTTCGTCACAATCGAGAATTGTGCCTTCTAACGCGTTTACAGGCAATTTTTTGAACGTGTTTCCCGTGCACAAGGGCATTAACTCATAAAATATTTTTGATACTTAGGTGACTTCAAACATTCACCAGGTTTCCTCAAAAATTCGATGTTTCGATTTTCTGATAGTCAAAATGCGTGATTACAAACACTCACATCAAGTTTCGTCAAAATCTATCAAGAATCGTGCCTTCTAGAGTGTTTACAAGCTAAAAGTTTGACAATAATAGCATTACCTCTATGCTTTTGAACAACAAGGGCAATAACTCATACTAAATATTTTTGATTTTAAATAGGGTTCATGTTTGGGTGATTACAAACACTCACACCAAATCGCGATGAATACATTTTTGAAATTGATAAAAAGTTGAACAATCCAAATCACTGTCGTCAGCTTGATACACCTATTTTTAAGGAAACTGTGCGAGAAATAAACAATATTCTACAAAATTTGGTAAAAAAGAAATTAATTTCAGAAAAGCAATACCTTTCCGCGTCCACCGAGTTTCGCCAACGACACATTTACACGCTTCTGAAAATTCATAAAAATCCCGAAACTGAGTGGTCCGTTGTCAACACAATTCACAAGGTAGACCAATCATTTCTAATTGTTCTAGCGAATAATACCGAGTTTCAGAATACATCGATTTCTGTTTGTTTCCGCTAGCATGCAAACATCCTCCTTATCTGAAAGACAAAGCCGATTTTGTTGAAAAAATTAAGAAATTGGACATTCCTGAAAACGCGTATTTGATTTTTACGCCGTGCATAAGGCATTATTTTGTTCGATATCCGTGTTCTGATTGACCAGATACAGAGATTTTAGATTTACTTAAAGATGGGTTCCCTTATTTTCATTCATGAAAATAAAAATGCTATTACTTACATGAACAGAAAGAAAAAGAAGAACCAGAATTCCAATGAGTGACCGATCAATAAAGGTCAAAAGTCAAAGTTGTCTTTGAATAAGTTGAAGAATGACCTTGCGGACAATTTTGTCCACATTAACAGCCATTGATTCGAAAATAAAAAAAATAAGAAAATTACGGAATATTCAAACAGACTGAATAACATGATTTTGTGTAAAACATATCACATTTCTCAAATCTGAACATTGAAGGTAACCTGACTATCAGAAAAATCTCAGCAGTATTTCGCCAAATTATAATTTAATTTGGGGTAAATACGACTCACAGACGGCTGTTCGAAATGCTGAAATTCGCACACACTGTTAAGCAATCGTTTTACCAGATTGAAAACTTGAGAGTTTGTACAATTTAGTATGTACATGTATAATCATGAAATCATACAGTTTTTTGCACTTCTTATATCTTATGATTCTCGATTTTATAGCCATATTGATACCACATTATTTCGACTTTCAAATTTCTTCAATTAAAAGGATTGCTGTTTGAACTAAGCGTATAATGGCTTGGTGCTTTATGAAATATATATTTAAGCAGTCATTGCCTTTGATAATAGGATTCCTGGGATTATGATTTGATATACAGATAAAAGTCGCGTGAAATAAGCCATACAATATCTGCGACTAGTATAAGAATACATATTGACTCAGTTTTTAATCATAACCAGATAGGGATAACAGAATGAAAACTAAGAGTTCATTGAAAGGTTTCTGTGATGGGAAATAGATACCGTACTGTTTTTACTCAGTAAATGGTACAAGAGAAACACAGTATAGTGTGAGAGATTGAAGGCTAAGGTGTATTCTAAACCGATTTTCAAAAGAACAATTCAATTAAAAGAAAATAGTATATCAGTGGACCAAGATTCAATCGAAAGTACGTTGAAACCATCATTATAACTACAAGCAGAAAAATATTTCATATTGTCAACCTCCTAATCGAACCAGAAAGTTAAATGCCTACTATTTTGAAGAATAATTTGTGAGTGAGATATTTCGCAAATGGACAATACTACAACAGTGCATGTTACATTACATATCAACCGTTCCATCAACTAAACATAGAGATACTGTCATGCTTTTGGAATAGTGAAAAATATAGCCTAATTATCAGGAGCGTTTCCAATTTAACATCTTTCGCTGAAATATTCTTGATTTCAATTGACTTTTTTTTTCCAAATAACACTGTAATTTTATTCTAAAAGAGAAATTTACGGAGAAAGTGCTAAAAAGGATATCATTGATAACTTAGGTACAAAACATGATATATGTAGTGTCTTGTCTTGCAAAATCGCTGTGAAGTACTATATTTGGAAAATCAGTGATCTTTACTTTTGGTAATACTCGGATGATAATTTACATACCGAAGAAGAAGTAAAGAGTTGCAGAATTTCTCACTATGGCCGAGGGTCTGACTGCTGTAGAGGCTTTCTTTATAGCAATTATAACTCTAGTTTTAGTTTTCTCCATAGTCAGTAATATTACTGTCATCATTATAATGATCAAAACACCGAAATTAAGAAACATCACAAACTTGTTTATTTGTAATCTATCAATTAGTGATATTCTACTGGCAGGCGTCGTCCTGCCACAAAATCTACACGACCTATCTCATACAGAAGATTATTTTGAAGGTACGTAGACTATTTTTACGGGAACTTAATGAGCAAAAATCGAATTGAACCAATAAGATGGATTCAATTGATTTTGAGACTAAATATTCCCCAATCGCTATTGTGTTTTATTGTCTCTTAAATACTTCGCCATGTTGAAGCATCTTGCTTTATTTAGAAAAGTTCGGTTAAAAAACTTCCAAACTATCGAAAAATCGAAGCTTTCCCGGCAACATTTTCAATATTGCACATTGTATTGCATGCAATGGTTAACAAGTCCAAAAAGAGAGGAAAAATTCGCTTTTCGAAATATGTATATTATATATTGGTTCTTTTAGAACACATCATTTCCTTTGAGCTATGAAATTTGTTCAGGAATATCACAGTAAGTATGAATGAGGACATGAATGAAATTTTATAGAATAACGTCTGAAAGAATATCAAAATAGTGTATCTGATACACATGAAAAATAATTAGTTGATCTAACTTAATTAAGTTGTTATGTCATTTCGTTTAATTTTAAGTTTAAAATGAATTTATGTATATTCATAGCAAACGCTTGTAAATGGCTTTTTTCGAATCAATAAGCGTATCATTCACATGATATTGTACTGAGCTTATAAAATACATATATAATATAATATAAAAGCTTACGTAGAATAAAAGGTTCTGAATCAATTCAACATAAAGATGTCAAAATCTATTTTTTCATATGAGATATTTTTTCAGAAAAAAAATAATGATGACCTTTCCGAAACTAAATTTTTGGGCAGCAGTTTCTTTTAAATTTTACAGGCTTTTAAAAAGGGCTACGTGCTTAAGAATATTTGTGTGGCGTTATAAAAGAAGACATTGGGGAAAAAGTGAAGCAATTATGATTATTTTACCAAGTGGACGTCCGAACACAATTTCTGATGAACACTTAGGTATATTAATGGGATGAATTCGCTTATCACGAGTTATTAACCTTGCTGGACCCAAATTTGGCTAGGGAACGTGATAGAGAGTACAGTTTTGATATGATTGGAATGAAACTGGGTAAAACGTGTGATTTCATCATGACAAAACTTAGTACGCTCTTTACATTCTTGGAATCTTGGAAGATTTTGGTGTTGAAAATGAGCAAGATACAATTTTGCGATGTCGTTAAAGAAAGGTTTATGTCAAAGTAATTATTTTAGGTCAACCACATAAATATTGTTAGAAACACAAAAGTGGTTTGATAAAGCTTCTGAAGCCATCAACATGTTCATCGTGAATAAAGTTTAATTTCATATTTTCTCGGCAATATTGTAAATTAGATTTACTTATTTTTAAAATCGAGAAGAAAGCCGACCAGCAGTCTCATATATACTTCTTTTGTGAAAGCCTGTAGTTATTGTTTTTTTTTATTAAGCTTCATTTGCTTATGAACAGAATATTAATATAATGATACACGAATCTTTATATAGAAGTATTTCAATAATTCCGTCGTATGTGAGATTTCTAAGATTGATTGTTATTGATAATATACCATTATAGTGATTCTATAATATTTATACCTACAAGGGCGTGTTCCTACTTCCAAAAGAGGAAATATTGTTGATCCACAGTTCCTCTGATATGTGAAGTTCGCCTTTATGTCTTTTCAGGTGATTTCCTCTGTCGCTTCGTTAATGTCACACCAATTTTACTGATTACTGGTTCAATATACACACTGGTAGCTATAGCATTTGAACGACGAGGAGCTTTAGTTCTGAATTTAGAGCCACCCAAACCAATTCCAGTTATATTGAAGAGCGTGCCTGCTATTTGGATTATGTCGTTTGTTATCTGCATACCAACGATATTTGAATATAAAGAATACACGTTTTTGGACGGCAATGTGACACGATACAGCTGTGGACGACTTGATGAACATTTTCCTCTAGTTTATTCTATATCCAATGGCTTTATGATACTTATTGTATCGTATGTAATACCTCTTATATTGCTCATGTATAACTACAGCCAGATATTTCGCTATTTCTGGAAAAGTAAAGAAGAGATGAAACACGAAGTTGAATCTGCGAGGAATAAATCACAAAGGAAACATCGATTGCAGGTTATTAAGATGCTAATTCTAGTGGCAGCTTTCTTTGTAGTAGCTTGGTTACCTTACTTTATCATTCTTATAATAGCAGTAAGTATGTTATAAAATTAAGGCAGTATGTGTATAAATATTGTAGTTACCAATCTAATTTCTTTTTCATTTACCGTGGTTATTACAGCTATACGGTTGTTCGATTCATATGCTTTCACCCATCGCCTTACGAAATCGAATCAGATATTCCAAAATGATTTTAGACCTTATTTAAATTCATAAGGATTTCATATTCCACCATCGCTTGGGTTTGCTGCATGGACAAAATACTGATATTATTATCAAAGATTGAAGTTATTGTCAAATTTAACAAATTGTTTCTCTTTTTTAGAAAATTTCCGGAAAGGATGATTCTGAAGCCTACAGCGGTCCAATTAATGTTCTAAGGATTATTTTGGCTGCCTTCAGTACTGCATATAATGTTATTCTTTACGCTATTTATAATCGTAACTTCCGTGAGGCGTTTATGTCAACATTCAAACGTTTTCGGAAGTCACATGTTTCGCCTCTTGAAAGCACAATCACGCAGAAAGATCGTTCTCGTCAAGCTAATTCATTCGTAGATAAACAGACATTAAACACGTACAATTCCAAACAAGAACCCTCTTGTTCATCTGAAGCTAAGAAACTAGATACAGAGTCAGCAAATGATGTTGAAATTACACCAAGTAATGACAAATTATTTCTTAGTCCGTCGAAAGTAGCAGATTTAAATATTAATCTGAAAAATCACGAAAACGAAGATACACCATAAGAATATTTCCATTTGTTTTAAACTAAATCCATTTTGATTTGAATTTTTTCCACAATGACAGAAATGTAGACCTTTAGCCTTTCATTTAATGATCCATTTTATAGTCAATAGAGATTATCTTATGACCATCAAATAAATTTACTTTTATTTATATGTATATATTGCCTGTTGCAAATATCGGATATATGCTTTTTAGTTGTCGCAAAGTTGTTTCGAAATCCAGAGTAAGCAGATTAGTTTTGAATGTGGATGATCTCTATTCTCGTCATAAAGATTTAATAGATATTTTTGTGCAAAATTTAACAATTTTAAGCCATTACGACCTTCGGTTTTTACCGTGACTCAGCTGCCATAGCCGCCATCCTTTCTTGTATCGCGGAAGTTTGTATTATACAGTGATTTGGTTGGATTGTAAGCTATTAATCAGAGGTCTCGACAACGAGGTTGTAAATATTTACAGTGGCTCAACTACCTGAGTAAGAGCTCATGGCCTTGTAGTTGAGGCAATGAACAATTAGCAATATCTAAACATTTTAACCCCCCAAAAAAATCCAATAGTTCGTTTTTATCGTCGTAACTAATTAAAACGTTTACGTAAGCTTTTTGTAAGGGGTAAGAAAAGCAATGTGCAGAATTTAGCCAAATAAACGCCAAATTGTAATGAAATATGTCTGCTACTTATTCTGAAGGCTTCAAAGCACAGTCTAATTAAAATTTATTGTTAATATAGCCACTGTATAACGACAGCCTTCGTGAAAGTTCGTCAAATTAAACTTTTGACTTAACCTGAGTGAATAGCCAACAGTGGTCATTCTGGTCAGGCATTTTATGGTGGAGTAAGTGCACCAGTCAGCTGCTCTTGCATCGTCGATCATATGATGAGTATTTCGATATTTTGATTATACGTAACGAAAAATAAGGTTATGGCTTTCAGGGCTGCGTTATGCGAAATGGTTCAATAAAATACTAAGGGCAATATGCAGCGCTCGTACTTTACCTAAACTTTGGCTAAAGTTAGACTTAAATCGAACTTTAGGTATGCATCGGTCGATCTTTACGAAAGTCGTGCTTAAATTTGACTATCAAATGTAGAAAATGAAAGCCTTAATCCTATCTTTGTAAAGTTCGACTTTAGCCAAAGTTCAACTTAAAGCGCTGCATACGGCCCTTAGTATTCCTATCTGTAGACCTACTTAAGAACTGTTCTTAAATATCTTGCTGTTTATACTTAGCTGAGGATAAAACCAGACATCATAGCTTTTCATAACATTTTTAAATTTAATTACATTAGAATAGATAATTTGATACAATTTAGTTCGTTGAAAATCATAAAAAGGCTGCAGTGGTAACAAAATTATTGGTCTGATACTGGATTGTAAATCTGTCGCGTCTCAAAATTCAAAAGATTTGATTGGTTGATTATAAATACTAATAGACATATATTATCCTAAATTGTATTCATATGAATCAAACAACCAAACGTAGGAAAAATGGATAAATATTTGATCAAAAAAGACAAATTGCTTGATGGTTCCGACACTACTACGACTGACAATGGTATCAAAACCACAGCGGGCAACACAACGGATGCAGTACCAAGATGCTCTGAAAAGACAGGAGTACCAGGTGACATTGGAAAAGAAGACGTTCCAAAGAAACCGAGAATAAAATTTCCAGCGAAGTCTGGTCGCCATTTTAGTTACTGCTGGTATGATCGATTTCCATGGCTGGAGTATTCAGTGTCAAGGGGCGCCCCTTTTTGATTTCCATGTCCGGTGTTTCACAATAAATCTGCGGGTGAATAAAAATTCATCACTGAAGGCTATACAGATTGGAAGCATGCTGTAGGTGATACTGGAAAGGGTCTCGAGAAGCATAACAATTGAGGTGTCAAAACAATTTCTCCAAGATAACGTTGCCAAAACAGAAAATCAGGACAAAGTCTAAAAAAAACTTTACTTCCACGTATCCCTAAGAATGTCCCCACGGGATCAATTAACAGATCTACTAATCCCAACAAGCAGCTATGTTGCACTGAACAATTTGTTCCCTCACAGTCAGATCCACCGTACCCTGGGACTGCCCCTTATTACCCCAACCACGCATTCGCCCTCATCTTCCCACACCGTGAACTCGGTCCATTCACCATTAACAGATACAAAATAAAAGAATGATCTTAGTATGATCATGATATAAATATACAAAAACTACAGGGTAAAACTAACCGGTCTCACGACGGTCTAATACCAGTTCACGTTCCCTGTTGGTGGGTGAACAATCCAACGTTTGTCTAATGGTAAGTAAGGTAAGAAGGGAAAGTAAAACTAAATACTTTTATGGTATGAAAGAAGATGTGGACTCTCTGAAAGAGATGCTGAATTGATAAACCCCTTAGTGATATAGGTAGCTCCGATTGTGTGAGCATTGCTCGGCATCGCCAGCTCCACCCACTTGTGTGATTAGAACTATGATTTCAAGATTTGGGACGAGTTAAGGAGTTGGCACACGAACGGTCTTGGTCGGAGGTTTTTGTCGCCGACATGTCAAGAGTTTTGCAGACTGTACGGGCATACGAGGATACAATAATCTCCAGTCTGTCGTTTTCTACCATATCGATAATCACGTGTGGAGCATGTAATTGAAAGGAAAAAGAATCTGATTGCAGACGACAAAACTACAGGAAACAAGGGCACACGCGAGATTTTACTCAAGAGTCTAATCGGCGACAAAAAATCTCTGACCAATCTCTCGTCACTCGAATTCTATTAATAAGATTTTGGTGATGTAGAGGCCACAATCCAGGAGAAAATACCAACAATGGCTACTAATGTTTGAAAACAGACATCTCGTATCTGGCACTGAAATTTTGAGGTTTCCAATCTAAGCTTCTTTCGATTTAAGAAGGAACTCACCTGAACAGACCTGGACAAGGATATTCATTGCAAACATCTTCGTCAGTCATCTTGTCTTCCACAATCCTTCCCACCGTCTTGGGGTCGAGGGTTGGTACACGTTCTATAGTACGTCAGGATTTTGACTCCACCCCACCGCTAACTTTAAATAAAAAGTAAAATTCATGAAAGAAGATCAAATCACGTAAGTATGGCAGCCATATTACCCTCGACTTCTCGCCCACGAGAAAACGATAGACGACAAAGCGGGGGAAAAAGGCGAGAAAGCGAGGGTAAAAATAAAACAGGAAAAAGGCGAGAAAGCGCACAATTATGAAGACAGATGGCGCTTTTTATATTCAAGAAATCTATTTCGAGAAATGTTAGGTAAGATTTGTTGGGCAAGATTTGTATTTGAATATTTGTTACTGATGATTTGTTATTGAAGAAATGTCAAGTGAAACTTGTATCCAAATTGAGAACACTAAGTAGTAATACATAATTAGTAACTACTGTATTTAATATTTTAATAAAGTAGAATTATGCTTATACAAAATATAACTATACAAATAATTGATTAAGAACAAAATAATGTTGATTTTGGTGAACAAATGTTGATTTTGGTTAACAAATGTTGATTTTGGTGAACAAATGTTGATTTTGGTGAACAAATGTTGATTTTGTGAAACAAATGTTGATTTTGGTGAACAAATGAAAGACGAGGGATTAAGAATTAAGACGTCTTAATATTGGGCTGTTCGGCCTTCCATACTCACAACGTCTCATCTAACTTTGTTCTCTTCGAGAACTGTGCAAATACAAGCTCTTCCAGCATTCAATCCAAGGAACTGTCAGTTGCGTGCAAGTCTAGTCTTTCTGTACCAATGTAACCAAATCAACAGCAGTTTCCTTATTTTACTGTTATGTTCATTTATGTATTTTACATGTGTAGTCCCCAATCGCCAAATAAATATATTGAATTTATTTGTCTTGTTGTAAATTGGTGTATAGCTTTTCAAGTTCAAATACTTTAGCTAAGCCGAATCTCTGGTTGAAGACAGTGGAAGTAGTATATGAGTTTTCTGATATAGCGCATCCAGTTTGATCCGGTTTTTGAGATGGCAGTTATATTTCTTTTCGGATATGACGCATTTCACTTCTGCGCATGCGCAGC